ATCAACACCGGGTATTTCCAGCCGGTCACCCATGCAAGTACTAACCCATCCCGACGTAGAACGGTATGTTAATGCATTTAATCCTCCGATTTACCTACTCAGCAGATTGCCCCATGTGAAATCTAAATTCCAGTTAACCTGAGTTATAAAAACAAATTATAAATTAGATGACTGTTAATATGTGTCAGCATTAGTAAAAAATATAAACAAGTTTTGTATTCTTCAGCTGATTCGGTTGTTGTTGATATTTTCTTTGCGTGATTTCCTGTTTCTAATGACGTCACTTCTGTCTATTTTTGCTTGATAACTGAAGCGTATTAGTATACTTCATTTTCTACTTCGTCTGCTGTTTCTGTTGTAGCTGTCGAATCCAACTCTTCCTCAGTTTCACCCCCGACAATTATTGGAGTGGATGAATTTGGGACAATTCCATCTGGTACAGGCCACGTTAGGTCATCTCGTGCGAAGTCTCTTTGCTCAGGCAAATCAGTTTCGTCAGGCTCTTTTAGAATTCCTTGAAACAGAGGATTGGGAAGAATTAGATATGGTCCTTTTGGAGGATGAAGTTAAAGGAGAACGCGAACAGCAATCGGTGATCGGGGTTGAAAATAGGACATCGAATGAGCCTTTTCCGAATATGGAAATCTCCCCCCTTCCACTCTATATATTGGCTGCCTTAGATGCTTTGAAGATTGAAAAATCCAAAGCTCACAAAAACGGTAAATTCAATTTCTTTCGCTATTTGTGGTTACCTTCTTCTCGAAATAATTAACCGTATTTTTACTTCAGAGATCGAGCAACTGACACAAGATGTGAGTTCATTAATTAAATAAATAAAGCCGGTCTCTGAAAATGGATTATTGTACATTTCTTCAAAGTGTTGGCCATTAATCAACTTAGTGTATAATTCCTCTCTAGGTGTCTTGAATGGTGCCTAAGTGAATGCTTATTTATTCTCTGCTTCGTGGTGTATTGCTAAAAGTCCGCTTTCTTTTTCAATGAATTAGTTTCCAATCGTATATGGTTCTTATTACTTTTAACTCAGGGACCAAATTACGAGAATTAAGAAGGGCATTCCCGCCTCAAGGTATTGATTGACTAAATGTCCGCAACTCTATTGTTCCTTAGAAAGGACTAAAAGTGACCTTTAGTAGTAAATGCCTTTCATATATGTTGTAATCGCTCAGTAATGCTTGACTTCATCCGGTAGCTCGTCGCTATAGTACTGTCGTCGAAATGAAATACTAATAACTTCGAATTCATATTACACATTTTGTTTGCCTAAGATATTATTTCGTCGGTTCTCATTAATGAAAATTATGTGGCAATTACAGATGAAGTGCCCATGATTTATCAACTATTACAAGCTTTATCGATTGCAGACACCATCACAAATATGATAGGTGGTACATTATCTAGTGCTTTTATCTTGACCGTCTAGTCAATCTCGTTAACACTTTTCCCATTTCAGTCTGCAGCTTCTCTAGATGAAATCGACCCTGGTTTTTTGCTGAAGAAATGGGAATCATCTGTAGAGAAATTGGGCTATCTTTCAAATGGTGTTCCTTCCAATCCCCACTGGGACCCCAAAGATCAAAATGCTCTCTCCAGTCTAATGCAATTTGGCAAAACTGAGGGTCAATTTTTAACCTTTTTGTAAATGCAATTACTCCTTTGTTTTCTTACGGTATATTTTAAAACTGATTAGCTGACGAAGTAAATTCTTACAGATTGAGTCGATATCGCCTTCCTGGACTATCTCAATCAGATCAGATCTACCTCCGAGGAATCGTCTTTTTAATGTCGAGCACAGAGAAAGGCGTGATGGAACGTCTATCTGGACAAGGAGCTAATGTTCAGGACTATGACAAATCGAGTAAGTCTACGACTTCATAAATAAGCAGGAGGTAATTGGGTAAATCTGATTTCTTGATTTTTTGAGTAATTTCGTTTCTATTTCAGGTATTCTGGGTGCCGATGATTGTGGACTAAGATTTATTATGACTATGAAACTTTATGACTACCTCTGCAAGAACCTACCTCTCGAAGAACGCTCGAAAATGCTTGTATGTGTGATAGCTACCTTCCAAAATATTGCTCTGAAGCCACTGCACTTTACCTTTCACGCGCTATTCGGACATACTGTAGTTCTCCTCGACTCTTGAGTAGAAGATAATTCAAAATTAATTTATCATTATGGTACTATTTGATGGCTCAAATCTATTAGTATAAGTGTGGAGAAAACGGTAGTAGGTTATCTCTCGTTTAATTTATCAACTAATAGTTTTGCCTGTGGAAAGTCAAATCTCCGCCTACATGGTGCTACCTTGGTTTATTTTGCAGTCCCAGACTCTCATAAAGATCGCGGACGTCGTAGATGGAAAGTTTGCTTTTTATGCGGCCAGTTATTGAACAATTTTTTTGAACCGATTTGCTCAGTCTAAATTGAGAACTCGAATGACTTCATTTTATTAATTAAGTTTGGTGCATTAGTTTATTAGTTAAAAGGACTTGCTTTTGCTAGTCCCTTTTCATCTCCCTTTTGTCCACGCTGCGTGCATTTCGCTTTGCCTCGGTTCTACTGTAACTCCTTTAGCCTTATAATACATTAGACCAAAATTAATCTACTGGTATAGAAGATGGACCTATTAAGTAGAATGTGAAAGAAAGAGGAATAATTGGGAGGAATTTATAGTTAATTGAGTTAGAAAGCATTGGAAAAATGGACAAATTATGCGTATATATGGACCTAACTTTTAATATTTTTTGCACATGAAGCATGTGTGAGTTTTAGTTTAAAATTGACCAATTTATTGGTCAATTTTGGGCGCTAGGTTGCTTATGCTGCCAAAAAGAACCCTTGGCACATTCCCTTTTACAACGGAGCTCACTAGGCCTGCTGTCAATGCTTTTCAATAAAAAATGCCCCGTTTTCGTTGATGCAAAGGACGGCGAAAATGTAAATCAATGTCTCGTAAATCCCCCCCCCCCCAGTGAATGGTCACTTACAGCAAAACATTTGCTTCGCCTTTTTAAATTTCTCGCTGGTTTATAATGAAGTGAACATGATTACGGCGAAGAATTCTTATGATTTTATGATTTCTGTATTCGTATTTATCGAATAATCTCCTAGATTGCGCTTATTCATGATCATTTATTTTGCGATAGGAAAACTGAAGTAGTTGGAAGTACATTTAATGTTCAAGTTCGGCTCATTCATTTTCTGCTGCTTTCCATCAATGTGCCGCTACTGCAACTTGAATTTAACCTTCTTTTAATTAAATTTGCCTCTTCAGGAGTATGGCTTGACAAGCAGGAGCTTTGCTTGGGCCTTCCACTCGGAATCTGAAGAGAAGCTTTTCAGCGTTCTTCCCTCTCAAAGGCGCGCAAAGAGCGGTTCGAATCTCACTTGGGAAGAATTTCGTCGATACGGCTGTACGTGGTGGATTCACAGTGATCATCTTCTACTACTTTGTGCTGAAAAGGTCAATTCATTTGCCAATGATACTCAAATCTCTCATTTAAATAGCAAAATTTAGTTGTCCCTCATTGATTGAATGCTCTTTCAGATGGCTCGCGCAGCATTCTCAGCTTCTAAAGACCCCATGAGCGCGGCACTTTTCTATCTCTCGATGAATAAGCCTACCATATTGGCTAGTCTCTACAGAACTCTGGGCAATCGTACTCGCGAGAATTTCTTCCGTTCGGATTTCACGCCTGGTTCCCCCGCTTGCAGGCAGGCCAAGATGAACGCCTTCCGTCTTCTCAGTCAACACAAGTACCCAGAGGCTGCAGCACTTTTCATTATTGGTGATTGGCTCGAAGACGCCATTAGAGTATGTATTTATACTCTTAAGGATCTCCAGTTAGCTGTCTTCGTTTGCAGGTGATTTTCTTATCCCGTTTGCTTGATTTATTTTTTTACGTAGTTTTCCCTTCACAACTTTTTTTTAAACGCAGGTTGTACTCCTTGAGTCATGGGACAAAAGAAGGCGAGGAGTCGGCTTATCAACAGATTTTGAGGAGCCATGTCATCTGTCATGAGGATCCCTATCTTCGAAGTATCGGCTACTGGACTTTGGTTGGTTTAATGTTTTTTCCTCGCATTCAATAAGTTATTGATGGTAATAAGCGTTTTACTTTTCCTCTAGTCCGAGCCACTAAATGCACTAACAACACTGATGATGAAGCCAGAAGAAAAGCCTGAAGACAGCACGATCCTTTTCAAGTCTTCTCCCTCCATGATAAAGTGCCCTCACTACTTTGAGGTTGAGATTTGTCCATCAGTGTTTCGCCTTTATACCTTCCTTCGGTCCCATCCTCTCGTAAGTGAAAATCTCCGGTCGGAGATTAAACAGGAGGCATGCAACAAGCTTCGCAATAAGCTAGCTCTTCTCGATCGGCGTCTGTATTTCCGAACTGCATATCATTACAGCACAATCGGATGCCCTACTCTTTCTCTTGCAGTTCTTCGTGAATTACCCCAATTGCAGATACCGCATCCCCCATCGAATAGTAATGATAATAATAGGTAAGTATTCTTCAGTGTTCCTCTATATGCACTTACCTGGCTCACTATTCAGTGTGGGATTAAATTTCGTATTTGCTCTACCTGTTATGCTTTGTGAGCTGACGTTATTATGATGTTGTTTTTATCCGTTGCAAAAAATTGCATGCAGTCAGTTTTACTTTAACCGATGTTGATAATTTCTCTCAACACATGTAATTTTTGCACCTTCGCTTTCCTTTTTTCCTGTCTTGTCGAACAAAATTGTCTTCTCTTTTGAAGCGATTGATATGGTTTGTTGATTTCTTTCAGGGTGGTTGAGGTTGGTGGGTCGAAATCGCCAACCGTGCCAACTCCAGTAGAGGAGGAAGTGACTTTCTCTTTTTTCGATACTTCTCCTCTTGATGCAATGAAGTACTTGGACATGACGGAATTCAAGCTGTCTTTCAGTGATGATGAAATCAATAAGAATGGGAAAAAATCGACTCTCACTGGAAATGGAGGTGAATATGAAGGAATCAACCCTCTACACAGTGAAGAACTAGGTACTTACTATTATTCAAGGTTTCTAACGAAATTAATTCTAAAAACTCTTATTCTTAGTAGAACTGTTCTATCCAAAAGGTATTTGATTAAAACACGTCCTGCATCTCTTCTAATGGTACACTGTGGTATTTTGGTCTTTTGTTTTAAGAGAATCGATCTGTCGGTTTAAAGCATTCTCTATTTGTCGCTTCAATTTGGAATTGTTCAGCCAGTTCCGTTGAGCTAGCTCTTTGTGTAATAGAAAAATGAACTCTTCGTCGTTGTAAAATGTAATTATGGTACATGCAGATTTGAAATATCTTTTGGGCAATTTTTAGCCCATAATTTTTTATTCAAGTGAATAGATCAACCGTATCACTTCAGATAATGCATTTTTTGATGTTTCTTTACTTAAACAGAATTTGAAAATGTGGTTACAACAGGAGGAATTGCAATCCAGAGTCAAATTAAGTACTGGGCCTGTCTTCGCATCTTCACGGAAGAATTATGCTCCACTTTCCTCGCTTCTTCGGTAATCATACTCTCAACTTTATTATTAATATTCTTTTAGTCTGAGGGTAGTAGTCTGAAACGTCTCCTCTATACCTGGCTCCATAATGAGATTTTGCAACTAGAGAAGATTTCTTCTTCTTCGTTTGATGAATCTCCAACTTCTGAAGGTATGGCGGAAACAATTACTATCAATTTCTTTCCTTTAGGATCAGATATAGATCAACCGCGCTCCTCTTGGCCCCTCATCTTTGACTCTTATGGCATTGACAAATCTCTTCTGTTACCTATCGATTTTGAAGGTTCTGGACATGCAGGAGGATTTTCAATTGCCCCTAATCGAGAGCAAAAACCAATTGAAGAGGATGAAAATAACTTTTCTCTTCGTCTAGTGGTAATAAAGTATTACAGCACCCATCCAAATTACTTTATTAGCACATTACAGTCCAATTGATTCAAAGGCCAAGTTAATGATACGATCTGAAGGGGGGAGGATATTCTTAGTTTAAGAATGGGACATGAAACTTGTTGAGAGGAGTCTCAGGTGCCTTTATTGCTGTCTTTGTCTCATTGTTATTAGAGATTAGATCGTAGTGTGGATGTAGATTAGACAACATTTGCACTAGATATTAATTTTCCAAGTGATCACTTAATGTTCGTCTTTATGTAGTAGTGCCACTCATGTCCGCACCCCAAGATTGGGATTTGTGATCCCTATTTATAACGTATTTTATCGAGTTAAGATTTTTTAATAGTCGCCATTGTTCCGCCTGCTGGTCAAGTTGAATCAGCACTTTTCTCTTCCTGGATATGCATATAATGTATTCTCCATTTCCCACGTTTTCTCTTTAGAAAAATTTCGAATTTGTGCGGAGTCTAGTCACATTCTGTTGTCTTCACGGCGAGAGTGGAGTTAACCTCCGTGTCATTCGCATGGAATTAACGCATCTGCTTATGGATATATACAATAGTATTTCAGGCGATGTGGATTATTCCCCTCACGGTTACTTGATTCGTTCTCTGCCCTTGTTTCGCAACTCATACCTTAATGCGCCTCTCATCTGCCCCCCACTTGATCTCATCAAGGTCTGCGCCAGTGCTCCTTTTATTGTTTCCTTTTAATTGTAATTAAATATTTACTCATCTGTTTTTTGCTCTTTTTTCACTGCAGACTATGGTTAATGATATAAGTACTTGCATTCTCGAATTGCCCCCTCCTTATACGAAATTCATCCTCAATACTCCGTTGTCATTTTTGGCATCCGATGGTAAAGTGGAAAAACAGTTTTCTGTTAACGAATACCCAGAGGCTTCGATTAGTCATCGAATAGCATTGCTTCGGAACCTCTGCATGGCTCTCTCTGCTTGTGTTTTCCAAAGTCTTTCAACAGCCAGTTGGAGAACTGATCTAGTTCAAGGGAATGCTGGGTTGGCAATTGCCATTGGTCAATCAAGTGATCTCACAGGTATGTGCCCGACAATGATGAGCGAATTACATTCCTCATCTTATCTGAATAAGCTTCAATTCTTGTTTTATTCTTAGCTGAACACTTTGTCAAATTTGGAAAATCCTTCCTTCCAAATTCTGAACCATCTGAGTGGCCAGGTTAGTTTCATTTCTTCTTATGATATATATCTTCAAGACCTTTACTGGCCCATATACTAACATTATTTTATTTTCTGCAAAACAATGGTGGTTGCTCATGAAGTTGTGTGCACAAACTGTTTTTGGCCTGAAGATATTCATCAATGAGCAACTTACTTACAGAGTACTTGCTTACTATAGAAACTAACCGCTTAGTATTTAACAGCGAACATATAGCGGCAGCATTTACACTGTGCAGCATTGCCCTTTGCCTTAAATTCCTATTTCTCTACTGTTTGCACTACTTTTGTACCCTAAATTTGATCTTCTGCATTTGATAATGCAAATGTCATTTTCACTAGTAGGCTCGTTTACTTTCGCTAGGGAATTTATTTTAACAGAGACGTGCCTTCCTACAACTTGGCAGTCATAGCATAATTAAATCTTTCCCTAATAAGGGTTTTCGATCAACTTTTATCAATTGTTTTCTTAGGTGTGCCGGGACTTTTCGCTGCGAATGACGGCTCTTTCGCATCCTCCTCCTCCATTCTCAAGGGTGTCCTTGTGGAGGCCCTCGTGGCCGTCTATACGGGTCTCTGTGTTTGTGCACTCTACATTCGTGACGCTTCTGTGCTCTATCGTTTGGTGAACAATGCCTCACTGGGGGATCCCTCAACTTGGAGCCATTGTTTCGGTGGCGTCTGTCGACTCAAACCCCTAAGACCACCTCCCCCTCTACGTGAAGCTGTTTGTACTCCGAGACGTCCCTCACCTTCTCCACCTCCCAGACCCACATCGTAAGTCTTTCCAGTTGTAGTAAAACGCAGAAGGTAATGCAAATGTGAGTGAATTCGAGAAACGTTAGTAATTGGAGGTCAAAATAAACGTCAAGTTTAGTACGCCCTATCCTCTATTTATTACTTTTATCCATGGCCCATTGGAGAATTTATTGACGTATAGTAATATCTATTTGTAATTTATTTAGTGAAGTGGCTTCCTATTTGAATAATTTTTTAAAGATTAACTAGAAATGCAAGTATTTTTCAAGTGCATTCCTTTTAATTTTCGGGCAATTGTACCCGTGCTTGATAAAGGATACTTTTTTATAATGAAAGTAGGAATTTTTATGACTTACTTGCTTCTTTCTAATTTCAATTTACTGCCGTGCCCATTTAGGATAGCGCTTTCCAGCACTGAGTTGCATTATTATAAAATTCCTTCGGAGAAAGCCAAATTACCTCAGCTACCCA